GAGAGTTTGGAGAATCTCCAAACTCACTCCAAACTCACAAAGAAATCTTTGCTTGATGTCATTGTTCAAAAATTTTGTTTTAAAAAAAAAGGAAAAAATGAGTTTGGAGAATCTCCAAACTCTCTCCAAACTCAAAAAATATGCGTGCACAACTTTTCTCAAAAAAATATGCGCGCAGCCACTCAAAAGAAAAGTTGTGCACGCATATTTTTTTGAGTTTGGAAAGATTTTGGAGATTATCCAAACTCATTTTCCTTTGTTTTGGAAAAATGACATCAAGCAAAGATTTCTTTGTGAGTTTGGAGTGAGTTTGGAGATTCTTCAAACTCTCTCCAAACTCTCTCCAAACTCATATGTTTTTTTTGTTATTTTATTTTTTCTTTGGAAAAGAGGAATGAGTTTGGAGCGAGTTTGGAGATTCTCCAAACTCACCCCAAACTCACCCCAAACCCGCTCCAAACTCAAAGGGTTTCATTTTTTCTATTTTACCTTTTTTTTTTGGAAAAGAGGAATGAGTTTGGAGCGAGTTTGGAGAGTCTCCAAACTCTCTCCAAACTCAGTCCAAACCGGCTCCAAACTCATGTTTCATTTGGCAATGTCACAACCGAAAAAACTGCTAGTCCAGGAAGCCCTGCAAAGCTCAGCTAGTAGTGCTTGCAGTACTGTCTACGAACTTCTTGAGATCAGTCCGCCACGCCTGACACCGGAAAAACGGGAATTTGGACTTTGAGTGGTAAAGGGCCTGATCGATCATAGGCGTCTAGTGACCCACGAGTGGCAAGATAGTTGTGGAAATCTAAAGGTATATGAATATGTTATGGTACCTGTAAATGTATATGTATATGCTGTTTTATCGACCCCCCAAATCTTGGGTTTTACCAGTGGCTACATATTGATATTTCTGAGGGGAACCCCGCAAAACCTGACACGCTTGCACGCATATGCAAGTGGTTCGATGACCCGTGCAAGTTAACAACCTAGTCCCTGTAAAATAAAAAAATCCCCATAGCCCCATAGCTAGGTCAGCCAGGGGCCTACCCAGTGGTGGCCACATGCCGTACCCTTCCTTCCCGCAGGGAGTCATTTTACAGCATTCAAAGTTTCCAACATGGAAGGAAGCCCACTAACCTGGCGATCATTTTACAGCACTTAAGGTTTCCAACATGGAAGCAAGCCCACTAACCTGGCTATCATTTTACAGCACTCAAGGTTTTCAACATAGAAGGAAGCGCACTAACCTGGCCATCATCTTACAGCACTCAAGGTTTCCAACATGGAAGGAAGCCCACAAACCTGGCTATCAGCTTACAGCACTCAAGGTTTCCAACATGGAAGGAAGCCCACTAACCTGGCTATCATGTTGTTCTCCATCGCACGTATAACATAGGTTTATCAAAAGGAGGACGCTGCTAACATAGCTATCCATTTTCTTCCCGGGATATCGCCATTTTACACACACACATACACACACACACACACACCAACCTGGGAAAACCTATCGTTATACGCGGGTTTTTGTCGCTACGTTTGTTTACCAGAGTGTACACACACATACATCCAAACATGCATACGTGCATACATGCACAGGTGCATACATGCACACATTATCCATGCATGCATGGACCCATCCATCCATCTGTCCGTCCATCCATCCATCCACACACATACATACATACATACATACATAATCAACATTGTGTTGCATGACATGCCTTCTCTTCCCTTTCATTACATCACTTTGTAGACAGAGGTGCACATAGATATCATGGAGTTGCTCAGCAGATTTGCATGAGGAATTTGAACCAGATGCCACATTTGCGCTTAAGTCCACCTCCATCACTGAGAAGTTCAGGTGCCGTGGAACAGCGAATGACTGACTAGAGCGGTCAGCAAGCCGAGTGCTTATTTTCTCTCCACAATCTTTTGTTTGGTTGCTGGCCTTGTACACTTGGATATACGCTGATGAAAACCGTGATTGGCAACAGCATGCTAATCTTGGGCGTCAGGTTTCACGGGTGAGCATGGCCAGTGATTTGGAGAAGGTTCTTTGCCTGATCCTCCATGACAATTTTTGAGGTCTGGCGTCCGCATGCGCCCGCTGGAGGAGCTCTTGCTCCGCAGAATCGATTTTCCGTACAGGTGATCATGAGTAAAGGTACTGTAGTTGCAACAGTTGGCCAGTCATTCAGAGGAAGGCAGGGGGAGGGGGGAGAGAGAGAGAGAGAGAGCGGAGATACACACAGTGATTTTCATGTACCTGTATAAATAAGTCTATGGTGTCTATGCATACGTATATATGTAGATAATTATGAAAGCACATCATGGCCCTCAGATCCCATGTTTTCACCTGTTTTACAGGCCTTGAGAATTTGGCTCTACGCCCACCGAAAAGGTGTACGCTAGCCTTGCCCCTGTGGCTGCCATTTCACAGTGGTAGCTGGAGCCCGGCGTGGATCCAGTTGCGTGCGGTGCGCTGCTTCGCTTCCTGCGAAGAGCTGGCTGCTGGACTACATCACCTTCTACCTGGACGTGATCTCTTAGACATCCTCTACGACCTGGCCGTGCTCTGGACTACATCCTCTCATAATTGGACGTGCTGCGAACTACATCCTCTCCTACCCGGGCGCGCTGGACTACATCCTCTACGACTTGGACGTGCTGTTGACTACATCCTTTCCCTGGACCTGCCTGGCTTCCTTGGTGCTACTTGGTGGTGGCTGGACTACTTCATGGACTACCTCTTGGAGCTCCCTGGACTGATGGCGGACGATGAGAAGAAGGAACGTGGGTTTGACAGCTACATCCCCGTTTGGGACGGGCGGTCAGACAGCCTGCATGACTTCAATCGCAGTGTTGTTTGGTGGCTGAGTTCGATCGACCTGAAGAAGACCACCGACTTCAACTTGGCAGCCCGCTTCGCAATGAGGCAGAAGGGCAGTGCCAAACTACGAGCTGTGGAGTTCGACCCGAAGCAGTTGGAGTACAAGGCTGCGAGAAGGAGCTGAACATCGAGACCGGTGTGGAGGAGGACATCCCTGCCCAGTATGACTATGGCATCCAAAGGATCTTAGCCTCATGGGAGGAGATGGTTGGACGCACAGCCCTTGACAGGAAGGGCGAACTGAGAGAAAGGTTTTACATGATTACATGGCCCTCAAACGAGGACCCAGTGAAAGCATCCCGAACTTCGCAATGAGGTTCCGGACCTTGGTTGGGGAGATGAAGTCTGAAGGTGTGAATGCGGACCATTCGGAACAAGCATGGTTCTTCAAGCAGAAGCTGCAACTCTCCGAGATCCAGAAGCAGATGCTGGAAACTACGTTGGGGTCCGATACGGACAACTATGGGATTTGTGGACGAGAAGCTGTAAGGCTTTTCAAGCGGGTTCACATGGCTGGTGGATAGCCCTGGTGGTGGTGGTGGTGGTGGCAACTTCCAGAAGAGGACACCCTGCCTGACATCCTCTAGTCGAGGTTTCGCATCATCTTCAGCATCTACTACCTCTTCAAGCTGGCGGCGTGGTGGTAAGAGCCGCCCGGGCTCTGTCTATGTGACTGAAGCTGAGGACGCCCCTGTGGATGAAGAGACCCAGGAGGATGAGATCAACGAGACAGCTGGTGACGTCGCTGAAGATGGAGCCGAAGATGATGGAGAAGATAATAATTTCCAAGGTTTGCAGGAAACTTTGGAGATCCTGGCAACTGAGCTGGATGAAGCTGCGGCTGCTGGCCATAGCGAGGAGGAGTTTGCGGCTTTGGAGCAACAAGTGGCTGACGCTGTGGAGGCCCTGGTGGCTCTTCGTGGAGCTCGAGCTCATGGAGCCCTTCGCAAAGATCGTGGCTTCAAAGGCCGTGGGTCCGGTGGTCGTGGTCGCAGTGGTGCCACCAAAGAGGGCAAATGCTTTGCGTGTGGCAAACTAGGCTTCGGCAAGGAGATGCAGAATGCCCTGGTCCTCCCGAAGGTCAACCTTCAGGACAAGGACATGGACCACCGATGCCACAGTTTCCCAAGCCGGTGAAGAAACCTGCTGTTGGATCGGTTGGCAAATCAACTTCCTACAAGCCTGCCGAAGGCAACGTTGTGGAGTCCAACGTGGTGGACTTGCTGCCTGCTGAGGTTGCTTTCACAGAAGCTGCCTTTGGTGTTCGTTGTGATGATTTGCCTGAGATTTACGAGATCAATGTGGCGAGCACACTGTCTGAAGCTTTGGCTGTTAGCTCATCAACTCCGAAAGGATTAGACCGTGACAAGATCAACATTGCTGCTGTGGACTCCGCCTGCAACAGAAGTTGCGCTGGAGCTGTTTGGATTCAGAATGTTTTGAAGGCCTTGGAATTGGCCCCCAACTGGATTTAGAGCTTGGTGGAGGTGAAACAGCAAGTTGATTATTTTTGTTTCTTGAAATGGAGGCGTGCTGCAGAGCGGCCAACACATCCGACTTCCAGTTCCCTTGCTGGATCGTGTGGTTTTGATTTGGATTTGTGAGATCCCCTGCGATTCACTAGGTTGTCTCTGTCTCTTGGGCAAAGACTTTTTACTGTAGAGAGCCTTGGAGCTGTGCTGGACTTTGTGGGAAACAGGATGCAGCTGAAGTTTCTAGGAGATCGATGGATTCCCCTTTCAAAGATGAAAGCTGGTCACTATGGTTTGAATCTTTTGCCTGCCGACCCCAGCACTTGGCCTTCCCTCACTGCAGAGTCGTGGCATTGTGAGGTGTTTGTGAGGTTCAATGTGAAGGCAAAGTGGCATGGAAGGTGAAATCCAAGTTCGGTGCGGCTGGTGGTGATTTGAACATGGTTGCGCACTACATCCCACAACCGCATAAGATGCTGCCTTCCCAACATCCAGCCTCTCCCTCTCAACTGCGATGGAGTCGCATGCTGATGCGTCTGCTGCTTCGGAAGAGATGGCATTATCAAGGACTACTCGTGTGGCTGATTCAACGACCATTTTTGCGGTTTCTCCCAACGCTGCTGCCAATGGTATCCACTGCAGTGGACATGGTGAAACGTCGCACTTGGCCGAAGCTTTGGCTGTCTCGAGTGCAACATCTGTTCACAGTGGTGCACCTCAATGCCATCACACTGAGGTCTCGGATGGGGCTCTTGGAAAGCTTCATGGAGGACGAGGCGGTGACCTTCAGGCTGCAAGCCGTGAAAACAAGGAGCCGTGCTCGCCAGCAAGCAGCCCTAGTGGAAGAGACTCACAGAGCGGTAGCCGCGCTGGATGGCCATAGAGAAGAGCTGGCAAGAGGGCTGAGAGGTCCCAGAGGTCTTCCTCGCAACAAGACCGACTTGGTGAAGTTGGCGACGCTGCTGAAGGTGGACGTTCTGCCGAAGGACACGGCGGCGGACATCACGACCAAGGTGAAGCCCATGGTGGAGATTCCGAAGAACCCGACAGTTCAGAAGGAATCTCAGAATCAGTCGCCAATCCCGGAGCAGATCAGCCTCACCAACCTCTACCTCTCCAGGATCTTCGTGGTCTTCCGGTGGGCTTCGAGAACGTGGCAATTCTGGAGAAGCCCGACTGGAACATGCTGTTGCAGGTGGAGAACCTCCCCGCGATGTACCAGATGGATCGCGGAGACGACTGCCTTTAGAATCCGAAGAAGTGAGGAAGTCCATCGGAACCCTCACCGGTGGAACCTTTCAGAAGCTCAAGAGAGGCATCAGAGAAGTTTTGGTGGCTGCTGCCGTCAAAGCCAAGAGGTTGAAAGCCAAGCTTGGCGCTCCAACGGACTATGTCATGGACACCATCGTGGAACGACAGGAGAACATTGCCTCTGGCACTCATCGAGAAGGTTTTGCCTCCGAGATGTTGGTTCCCTCGCTGCCTGACCTTGCGGTGTATGAGACCGTGCATTTGCCAGTCTCGCGCATGGGAGAAAAGCGGCCAAAGAGGAAGAAACCAAGAGAGATTGATGAGTTGTGTTTTGTGCATCTGCGTGGTTGGATGTGCCGTGACCACTACACTGCAAGGAGAACCTTCTTTGCCCCATGGAATGGTGCAACTGCCCCTCTGATGGGAATTCGAGGGACAATATGTAGAGCGCTTGGTGAAGGGAAAGGGCTTTGAGATCTGATGGAAAGGTGCCAACAAGCACAAGGCAAGGAGCGGGCTCCAGCACATGCTGGGGCAGCTCCAACTCAGACGGATCCACCTCAACATCAACGGAGACGGTTTACATGGCTGGAACGACAAGCTTGTCCAGAGAGCGTTGGATTCCTTGGCCAATGATGGCACCCTGGCAGCTGTCACAACCTCACCATCGAGCCCTATGTCCTCCAGATCATTGAGAAAGTTGTTCCTCATCTTCGAGGACATGCTCTTCAGGTCCTTGGCGAGCCTGGTGTTGGCAAGACCCCCTTGGGCCGAATGCTTGCCATGATGTTCCCGCGCTTTCATGGAGTGGTTAGCACCTTCAAATCAAGCCAGCAACTTTGATTTCTTCAGAGGCCTCCTCTTCCATAAGACCCGTCCTGCTCTCATCCTCCAGAGGCTCCCTTGGAAGACTTCATTACCCATACCACCTTCATGAAGTTGGTCAAGCCTGCTTTGGGCTACATTGCTGCTGCAGATGCCAGACCCATCTCAAACGTGGAGCCTTCATGGTCTTCACCACGGAATGGATCTCCTGAGAGCTCCTGTACGCACATCATTGCCAACATACAGGCAGGACTCCCCATGCCTGAGGACTGCGAGGCCCGACTTGCTTGCGAAAGCGAATGGCTCAAGGAAGCTTTCCGCAAACATGACGCTCCTGAAGAACCTGTACCTCCAGCTCCACAATCTTCTACACCAATGCTCTATTCAGTGACTCAGGCTGACGGCACTTTGCCCGCGGCTGCTACTTTCAAGTGTGTCCCTGTGAAGCTGGAGTTTCCCAGCCAACGCTTCCGCCACCTTTGCTCTTCTGCTGCGTTCATCGATCTCAGTGACGCACCTCCTTGTTCCTTTGCTGCTGCTTCTGCTGCTGCTTTCTAACAAGATGAGAACTTGCTTCCACCAGTTGGGGAAACTCCTGATGAAGTTGAGCTTGAAGCAGATAGCAGCGGTGGTACTTCCAACAACACCACTTGCTTAATCGTGTCCTTGCAGAATCTTGCCTTTGGGGATATAGTGCATGATGCCAAGAATGCGCACTTCTTTGCCTTGCAGGCCCGCGAAGGCTTCTTCCTCAAAATGGATGATGATTTGCGAAGCCTTGCGAAGCGTTCTCTCCGGCGCATGTGTCGTTGATCATCTGCAGGACAAGAAGAGCTTCACCTTCTACCGGTTTCGTGCGGCTCAGAGCTTTTCTCTGCTCACCTATGATTCCATTGGTGGAACTGGGCACGTTCACAAAAGGCCAGCCTCTTCTTCCACGGAAGAAGTGACGCCTGTCTAAGCATGCCCTTTGGAAACTTTGGCTGTGCTGGAAACCTCATGACTCACCTTGAAGTTCACGCGGTGTGCTACGGTTTGTTTGGCCCAGTTGGTGTTTTCCATGAACAGGAGTAATTCTTTGCTAGACACTGCTGTGCCCGTTATGGGTGCAATTACTGCTGGGAAAATGGCAGCAAAGTCAATGTCCTTGCTCCACATGATCGTGATTTGACGGCATCCTCTTCGTGAACTCCAAGGACAGGAGTCTTTCTCCATGAATTATTTGAAGTACCAGATCGGATCGCTCTTCCGCGGCCGCTTGTCCTGACAGGCTGCCTCGCATGCAACCGTCTTCAATAAGACAGATCTTCATGTGAATGACCGCGTCAACAAGCTGCACTACAATGCCATTTTCTATACCTGGTCATGCATGAGTTTCACCCTTTGAAGGTGCACCTGGACAATCCTGGACATTGTGATTGGTGACGAACTCCGGGCCAGTCACCTTGACTTGTATCAGGCCTCCTGCACCAGCTCCATCGTTCTTTTTCAAGACGACTGCAGTGAAGACTGTGGTGATGGATGGCGCGCCGGAGAAAAGGGCTGGCCGTCCTCGCCGTTCTGATGAAATTGTGGGTAAACATTCCAACCGATGGTCCATGTGCCGTGATCCCATCAGTGGTCGCCCTTGGGGTTGGTTGTGAGGCAGGAGCCCGGGAACAAGCCATTGACAAAGATGATAGAGTATCTGTTGTGGCTGTATCCGTCCTTGACAATCTAGGTCTACGACCGTGCTTGCTCTCTCAAACCATCTGCAGAGAAATAGTCCTATCTCAAGCAGATCCAGCACTACATCGTTGACTGCTTTCATGCCTGCTGTCATGGCAAGAAATGCCCCTGCAATCCCCATTCCTGGTCCTACAAGGTCCTCTATTTTTCTTGAGTTTATAATTAATCTACGCAACCTAGCCTTCACACACACACACACACCAGAAGTTTCGATCTAGGACGCGCATTATTATTGTTTTTTTGATATTGTTCCTGCTTGGGTCTGCAGGCTTCAAGAAACCACGTGCGAAACTCATGGCAAAGATCAATGGCAAAATTTGAGAGCAGGTCTTTAGTTGGTTTCGACACGATGCACCGACATGCAATGAAATGAAGGAACTTCGTCACAAGTTAATTTTGTTCTACGCCATTATGAAGCCCTTCTATATACATGGACAAGCCTCATACCTTTGCGGCATCTCCCAGAAGGTGAAGTCTAAGGCTTACGGCGGCTGTTTTCCCAAGCAGCCCAAGACTAGCTTATGAAAGGGATCATGAAGGTCAAGAAGAGAATGAAACGCTTCACAAGCAAGTTCATGAAAAAGTTCATGAAGAAGTAGATGCTACGCAGAAATGCCTGTGTGATCTGTGTGATCTTATGCCGTTTTGATCTGGGACAGATGGCGATTGCGACAGATACGTCGAGATAGGTAGTGGGAAGGCAGTGAGACACAAAGAGCAACAACCAGAAATGTTCACAGCGTCCTTTTCTCACAAAAAGATTAATTGTTTCGACTGTAAAGGACGGACCCTAATAGAAAAACACCCCGATGTTGACTAGTTTTTGTTTTTAGGTGGTGAAATCTCACTCGGGACCTTCATCTCTAAATTGTTTTCGAGAGGGGATCAATTAAAAATCAAGTTGGCCAAATTCAAACTTGTCAAAATTGAAAGCGGACCAATAGAGAGAATGATTTTACAAACTTGTAAGCAAGCAGGTAAGGAAGGAAGGAAGGAAGGAAGTACTGTAAGTACTGTAAGGACTGTAAGTACTGTAAGTACTGTAAGTAAGTAAGTAAGTAAGTAAGTAAGTAAGTAAGTAAGTAAGTAAGTACTGTAATACTGCATGTAAGTGAGTGAGTGAGTGAGTGAGTGAGTGAGTGAGTGAGTAAGTGGGTAAGTGAGCAAGTAAGTGAGTAAGTAAGTGAGTAAGTAAGTGAGTAAGTAAGTGAGTAAGTAAGTAAGTCAGTAAGGAAGTAAGTACGTAAGTAAGTCAGTAAGTAAGTCAGTAAGTCAGTAAGCAAGTAAGTAAGTAAGTAAGTAAGTAAGTAAGTAATAAGTAAGTGATTGATAAACCCCTGTAATGCATATAATATAAATCAGGATTCTGGGGCCTGGGTTTTAATTTTTGAGGGTTTCTGGGTGCTAAAATTGGTTTTTGAATGGTGCAGGATACATATCAAAACGGTGTTGGCTCAGTACTATTCGTTAGTGGTGTTTTATCCAATTCTGCGCTGGTTTACATACGCGTGGTTTATTCAAGCTAATCCGTCCAGGTCGGCCCAGGTCCGCCTAAGTCTGCCCAGGTCAATCCCAACTCCCAGGTTCTCCCAGGTTCTCCCAAGTTCTCCCAGGTTCTCCCAGGAAATTAGTGATTTCCTGCGATTTTGTGGGGTTTCCGGGATTTCTGATTTTGTGAGGTTTCCGGGATTTCCTGGGAGAACCTGGGTGTTATTTTCTGCGATTTTGTTGGGTTTCCGGGATTTCCTGGGAGAACCTGGGTGTTATTTTCTGCGATTTTGTAAGGTTTCCGGGATTTCCTGGGAGAACCTGGGTGGAAACAGTTGGGGATGGGCCTGGGAGAGCTGCGAGTTAGTTCGGGGAAAAGTGGCTGGAGGGTGGCCCGCTATTTTGACCCACGATTTCTTAATTTCTGCCGCAGGCGTTGCCGCCCCCTTTGGCCTGCAGGTTTGCCACGCTTTAAAGTTTAGTTATAAGCATTACAGGGGTATAGCAAGTAAATGAGTAAGTGAGTGAGTGAGTGAGTGAGTGAGTGAGTGAGTAAGTGAGTAAGTAAGTAAGTAAGCAAGTAAGCAAGTAAGTCAGTAAGTCAGTAAGTCAGTAAGTCAGTAAGTCAGTAAGTCAGTAAGTCAGTAAGTCAGTAAGTCAGTAAGTCAGTAAGTCAGTAAGTGAGTGAGTGAGTGAGTGAGTAAGTGAGTGAGTGAGTGAGTGAGTAAGTGAGTGAGTAAGTGAGTGAGTAAGTGAGTAAGTATGTCAGTAAGTAAGTCAGTAAGTAAGTCAGTAAGTAAGTAAGGAAGGAAGTAAGTAAGTAAGTCAGTAAGCCAGTAAGTCAGTAAGTCAGTAAGTCGGTAAGTGAGTAAGTGAGTAAGTGAGTAAGTAAGTGGGTAAGTAAGTGAGTAAGTAAGTGAGTAAGTAAGTGAGTAAGTAAGTAAGTAGGCAGGTAGGTAAGTAAGGTAAGTAAGGTAAGTAAGGTAAGTAAGGTAAGTAAGGTAAGTAAGGTAAGTGAGGTAAGGAAGGTAAGGAAGGTAAGCAAGGTAAGCAAGGTAAGCAAGGTAAGCAAGGTAAGCAAGTAAGTAAGGAAGTAAGTAAGTAAGTAAGCAAGCAAGTAAGCAAGTAAGGAAGGAACTAAGTAAGGAAGGAAGGAAGGAAGGAAGGGAGGAAGGAAGTAAGTAAGTAAGACACATGGGTAAGTAAGGAAGGAGGGATGTAAATAAGAAGGTAGGCATGAAACTAAGTAAGCAAGCAAGCAAGCAAAAAAGCATGAGTAATGTCATGTAATTTTTGAGTGCATCTATCTAACTTTCTAACTAACTAACTTTCCATCTGTCCTATCTATTCTATCTTTTCTATCGTTCCATCGATCCTATCTAGCCTATCTGTCCTATGTGCCCTATTTTTCTTATCTGTCCAACCTATCCTATCGGTCCTATCTACTTCATCAGCCCTATCTATTCTATTTTCCCTTTCTGTCCTATCTATCTTATCTATCCTATCTGTCCTATCTGTCCTAGCTATCCTCTCTATCTTTTCTTTCATGTCTTTCCTATCTGTCCTTCCTTTCTTACTTATCCTATCTGTCCTATCATGTCTATCTATCTATGTACCTGTGCATCTATGTAGGCAGGCAGGTGCGCAGGGAGGTATGAAGGTATGTTAGGCTGTCTATCTATGAATGCTTGTATGGCATGCAAGCATGGATGTATGCATGCATGTATGTATGTTGATGAGTGTATGTCTATGTTGATGTTTCTTTGTTTCTGTGTATGTGCGTACGTACGTGCGTAGGTAATGTAATGTAATGTAGCGCAACGCAACGCAACGCAACGCAACGCAAGCATGTATGTATGTATGTATGTACGTATGTATGTTTGCATGCGCACCCATGTATGTAGGCAGGCAGGCAGGTAGGTACGTAGATATATTTATGTAGATATATGTAGATAGATGTTCGTGTATGTGTAGATATTTAGATGAATGTGTAAAAAACAACATTTCAATATGTTAGGCACGTTTATTTTGTCTGTATACATGTGTTTTTGTGTAGTTATTTTTTTACATATGTATGCATTTTGCTCTTATTGGTTTATGTATATATCTGCTTATTTATTTGTATATATAAATATGTATATTAATACTTTACATGTATTATATGTATATATGTTTTTGTGTTTATGTGTATATCTATACGTGTAAATGTATTTTATATATATGTAATTATATGTAGACATGTATTTCTATATTTATGTATACACTCACGTATTTACATGTATGTATATAAACATAAA